TAAATATATTTAAATATTAAAGTTCACGTGTTGTCTATAAAGTTACACTAAACACACGAAAGCAAAATCTTGCATGGTCATGCAGTACCTACATCGGGACTTGGCAGCGAGGAGTATACTGGTGAACCAAAGCGGCTCTGAGCTACACTGCAAGCTCACCAACTTTGGTCCGGCGGACAAGGTGATAGCCTGGCGTCGCAATGCTGCACATGACAAGGTGCGTTTCCCGCGCATGCGTGCATACCAATAGAGACTACGTCGTACCTAGAGGCTCGTTCTCAGCAGGTATAGCTACGAGAATGAAGAGGTTTTATTCACGGGCTAACAACAAACGAAGCGATGTATTTTTTTGCGTGTGCACGTGCGTTTGTGTTGTCCGCGTGTGCATACGTTTTGTTCGAGTGCGGGCGTGTATGTATATTTACGTTATAATACGTATACTATATACCGTTTGTGCGAGTGCAGGCGTTCATGTATATTTACGTCATATTACATTATATTTACGTATATATTACGTTTATGCGGGCGTGTGTGTATGTGTCCTGTCTTGCATAGCAGTAACTGCGTTAATGTTCGCAGGATCCCGTTCCTATACGTTGGATGGCGGTAGAGTCATTGCTACGAGGCGAGCACAGCATCAGATCTGATGTGTGGTCATTCGGAGTGCTTCTCTGGGAGATTTTTACACTAGGTACTATACAAACGTACGGCCTTCTAGGACATTGCAACGCGTATATGATATATTATATAACAACGTGAATTTCAAAGTATAGCATTGTATCGCGTATATCATTGCATCACGTATATCATTGCATCGCGTGTAGCATTGCATCATGCATAGCATTGCATCACGTATAGCATTGCATCACGTATAGCATTATTGCATCACGTATAGCATATCATACCACACACTCAGGCACGCACGCACGCACGCACGCACGCACGCACGCACGCACTCACGCACGCACGAGAGCACACGCACGCGCACACGCACACAGACACACGCCCACGCATACGCGCACGCACACTCAGGTACGCACGTACACAGACACACGCCCACACACGCACGCACGCACGCACGTATGTAAATCGAATTGTCGGTCGCAATGTTCGTGTAACGGAAGGACTTGCTTTAAGCGTTGCGTTGTTCCTTGTTATTCACAGGTGATGTTCCGTACGAGAACATTGAGTCAGCGGACGACGTGACGGAGAACGTTTGCCAACGAGGAGTAAGACTTGAACAACCCGCCTTCTGCCCTGACGACATGTAAGTATGAGATAGTACAAGTTTATACTGTGTAAATGTGAGATAGTAAGTGTATACTGTGTAAGTGTGAGATAGTAAGTGCATATTGTGTATAAGTGAGAGCCGGAGGATGGGGTAGATGCCTTATTCACGCGTATTGTTCTGTGTCCGCTTCGCCCAGCTTTCTACGATGCTGGGCTTAAAGGCTAAGGTTTAAACATTTTTTTGCCAAAGAATTGGAAGCCACCAAGCCGGAGGCAGAGGTTGAGGTTGATCTCTCTATTTTTCCACGTAGACTTTCTATCGCCAGCCGATGTGCGTGGACAACCAGATTCCCTCTTTTAATTATTATTATTTAATTAAGTTTAAGGTGGTTAATTTTTAACGAGAGACAACATCACTCTCAATGCTACAAACCCAGGCTGTACTGCGCTGTAAAAACACACTGCTTCTAAAGCACGTGAAACATTCACAGATGATCAATCCGTTATTAGTTGTGTTTATTTCCAAATTCAGTAGACATCGGCTTCGTTTTACATATCGTGATTCTGCCAATTGTATACAAAAATTATTCAGTTTCCTGGCAGACGTTCCTATGTTTATGAACCGTGTTAACTCGATACTCAAACGCCTTTTCACCGGGAACAAATTATCACAGTACTACGTTAATAATTTCAGTCAGTGACTCGACTTCAAACACCAAAGAGACTTCGGTAGGCGCGACAGACCTTTATGCATTTCACAGCAGGTGTCATAGACTCACCTGAACCCGCGAGAACTAATCAATTCTTCGTCTACATGGTCGAAAACTCGGAGACAAAACCCGCATTTTTTGAAAAATGGGGGGGGTAAAAAGAACCGCAACTCACAGGGCAAGACGCGAGATAACATGATACCTCATGCAACTCATACGCTATACGATAACATCATAAAATTGTAGCCGAGATCGACTTTCTCTAAGCTGCTACACTTGCTTTAACCTACACGATGTAGCAGATAAAAATATATAATGTCGCTAAGTAAAATTTCCGATTGCATCTCATACGACCTCGTTGCAACTGCCTAGATGACATCAGTCAGCATCACCAGAAAAACCTAGCGAGAAAGACACCGCCCGTGCCTCCTATTTGACGTCAAAATTACATCGTAAAGTAGCGGTCATCGTTACTAATTGCCACCGACATTAGACGGAATACTCGATTGTAGATCAGGTTCTTCATCCAACGAGGTACTTGATTGTACGGGCTCTTTATAAAATGAAGCAGCTAATGTGGTTTCAGAGTCTTTATCAGATGGTGACAGCGAGTTAATATCAAGTGAAGTATATGATGACGTTTCATGACCTTTATCAGATGAATGACTTGCTGACGAACCAGAGTCTTTGCAAGATGAAGTACTTGACACCAAATTTTTACGAGGCGAATCACCCGACGCTTGTTCGAAATAATTGCCAGTCAAAGTACTAGATGATCGTCCGGGATAGCCAGAAGACAAGAATCTCACAGACGGGCTGGAATAGGTATTTAACATAACCGCTGATGGCAGCACAGGATGGGTAACGGACGTGGTTCCTAGCGATGGTCTAGCGTTGTCATCGACCGAACACTTACTAGGCAAAACAGGAATATCATTATGCAAAGTTTTTGCGAATAATCTAAGACGGTCATTATGTAAAGTTACTGCCGACAGTTCAAGATTGTTGGCCGACAAACTCCTCGCCAATGGTCGAGAAGTATCATCGCGTGAAGTTCGTGACGATGGACGACAAAGACAACTCCTCGACGATAGTGCAAGGCTGTTATCAGACAAACTCCGCGCTAATATTCTACAATAATCACTAGACAAATTCCTCGATGATATTCTACAGTAATCACTAGACAAATTCCTCGATAATATTCTACAATAATCACTAGATGAATTCCTCGATGATATTCCAGAACGGCAATCAGACGAAGCGTTTGGCGGTTGTTTATCATCGGTAGCTAAAACTGCTACTGGCGAAAAACAGGAGTGGCTACTATCGGGGAGGTTTCCTGCCAACGGTCCGTGCAAGTCACCAACCGAAGTGCTCAAAGATGGGGCGGAATTCCTGTCGGAAACGTTGTGCGGTGACGCGTCGCTCCTTTCTGCCTCATCCTCCGCCTCTGCCTCCGCCTCTGCCTCTGCCTCAGCCTCTGCCTCCGCCTCCACCTCTGTCTCTGCCTCCGCCTCATCTTCCGCCTCAACCTCCGCCTGGGCCTCCGCCTCATCCTCCGCCTCAACCTGCGCCTCATCCTCCGCCTCAACCTCTGCCTGGGCCTCCGCCTCATCCTCCGCCTCAACCTGCGCCTCATCCTCCGCCTCAACCTGCGCCTGGGCCTCTGCGGATGCGTCGCTCCGGTGGAGGTGTGACATCATGTCCGCCCGGTGGCGCCTCTGGGCGGCGCGCATGCGCTGTAGCCGGTCGCGGTGCCGACCGTTCTCCTTATAGGTGGCGTGCAGCTGCCGCGACTTGAACAGCAACATGACGGCACCGACGAACCCAACGAAGGCTCCCGCTACGGCTACGAACAGCAGCGAGTCGTACAGCTCGTGGAAGGACGAGTAGTAGAGCAGCATGGACAGCTCCTGAATGCCGAATCCGAGGCAAATAAGCATGGCCGCCGTGCACGCTGCTCCCAGCCACTGCATGACGAGCCACAGGCGGTGACTGTCACTGTTCTGGTGTCGTACTATCAGCCCTGCAGCGGCCGTCGCTGCGCAGAGAAGCGCCAGTGCTGCCGCGACGATGTCGGGCGTGAGTAGCTTGCCCGTGATCGTCATTAGCGTGACCTTGGCACCGACGACGAGGCCGCTGCCGACGATCAGCACGCTGGCTGCCTGAACGAGCTGCGCGAGGTGACCGGAGATGGTCGGGTCCTCGTCCTCCTCCTCCTCCTCCTCCTCCTCCTCCTCCTCCTCCTTCTCGTCGTTTTCCTCCTCCTTCTCCTCCTCCTTCCCCTCCTCCTCCTTCCTCCGCACGGGCACATTGCTCCGACATACTGAATCTACGTCACTCTCCGTGCTTGCGGCAATGCAGGCCTGCCCTCGTGACGTCACGCTGAGCTCTCCTTCTCTATCACCCTTCCTCTGGCTCATTGGATTCACATTACTCTTTCCTCCTAGGTCCACATTGATCTCCATCCCGTCGTTGCTCTGCCTCAGTGAATCCACGCTGCTCTCCCCTATAAAATCTACATCGTTCTCGGTTCCTGCGACCAAGCGGACCTGCGTTCTTCGCGCTCCTTTGCTTTGAACCGCGATAGAAGGAACCACTTCAAGTTTGAGCTGGTGGCCATTTTCCTGGTGAGGAGGGTTGCAAGGCTGCACGGGCGGCAAGTCGTACATCTGCACCACGTCATCACCGTGACCACTGCCGGAGCCTCGTACTGCTCCCGCCTGGTCAGCACCGGCTCGATGACCGCAGGGGATGTCCACGCGGACAGCGGTCAGTTGTCCGTGAGACGCTCTGAGCTGGTCCATGTCGTCGTCACCACAATCCTCGTCGTCGTCGAGTTGTATCGTGAACGATTCGTTGTCATGGCCGACGCTGGACGCTCTACCGTTGCTAGGGTCGCGACATATTCGTTCTAAATCCTCCATGATGCGATGACAAGAGGAGGTGGGGGTGTCAGCCTAGCTGTCACATGCGCCAGTTGTCGTCAGCGCCGCTTGTGGCAAGATAGCGCGGCTGTTGTTGTGAACAGATCATCGCATTTCTCCAGATGACGAACTCGCACTGCCCGGGTTTACAAGCAGCCGATCTGCGCGACAGTCGTCAGCGATTTCTCAGCAAATCTACGACTGGTCCTGGAGCAGTGAATTACATCGTGGGTCGCACACAGGACTGCTGCCATTAGATGAACGAACGACGCCGATACGCACACCATCGGCAGTTAATCGAGGAATCTCTTCGGCAGGATGTAAATGAATGCTGTAGTGTTATTGTCGCGTCCCGGAGCAATGGATGCGTCTATATAATGCAATAACTATCTCACAGTATAATTCACAAACATGTTAAGCTTCTACAGAGGGTCGCACTAACATTCAAACTGATATTTAATATCTGTACAAACGAACCAGTACGGGTTCCAAAGTCTTCATCGTGATCATGATAACAAACAGTTTTATCTACGTGCAAACACCGGCTGAGTGAAACACTCATAACGATCCGATATTCAGCCACGTGATGCATGTGAACTGACTACGTGTTTACATTAGGAAAATATCTGCCATGACAACACGCATGTGTGCAGAACATTTTTCTTTGGCGTTCTGCTTAGACACATGGTAGTGCGGAAATTAATTTTTTTTTTTAACCAGCCTAGAAGCATGTTATCAGGCGTGAATAGTGACAAATTTGTCATTACGCACACCTGATGTTATCAATCGCATTCTTCATACGACATTCAGCGTGCAAAGAAAAATGCTACGAAGTTTGAAAAATTCAGACCAGTGGTCTCCAATATAACACGACCGTTTAATATAATTCACTTAAATTTTATCCGACCGGAAAAATTTCGCTATATATTGAGACACCCTGCTTATTGAGACACCCCCTGCTTATTGGGCTCACCCCTGCTTATTGATACACCCTGCTTATTGAGACACTCTGCTTATTGAGACACCCTGCTTATTGAGACACACTGCTTATTGGGCTATCCCCTGCTTATTGAGACACCCTGCTTATTGAGACACCCTGTTTATTGAGACACCCTGCTTATTGAGACACCCTGCTTATTGAGACACCCTGCTTATTGGGCTATCCCCTGCTTATTGAGACACCCCCTGTTCATTGAGACACCCTGCTTATTGGGCTATCCCCTGCTTATTGAGACACCCCCTGCTTTTGCTATACTGAGACACTAGACACCCTGCTTATTGAGACACCCTGTTTATTGAGA